TGGTTATCTGGGTCATGAAGATCTTTTTTGTACAGTTCTTCTGTGTATTCTTGCCACCTCTTCTTAATATCTTCTGCTTCTGTTAGGTCCATACCATTTCTGTCCTTTATTGTGCCTATCTTTACATGAAATGTTTCCTTGGTATCTGGTTTTCTTGAAGAGATCTCTAGTTTTTCCCATTCTGTTGTTTTCCTCTATTTCTTTGCACTGATCACTGAGGAAGGTTTTCTTATCTCTCTTTGCTATTCTTTGGAACTCTGCATTCAAATGGGTATATCTTTCCTTTTCTCCTTTGCCTTTTGCTTCCCTTGTTTTCTCAGCCATTTGTAAGGCCTACTCAATCATTTTGCCTTCTTGCATTTCTTTTTCTTTATCACTGCCTCCTGTACAATGTCACAAACCTCCATCTATAGTTCTTCAGGCACTCTATCAAATTTAATCCGTTGAATCCATTTCTTACTTCCACTGTATAATCATAAGGGATTTGATTTAGGTCATATCTGAATAGTCTAGTGGTTTTCCCTACTTGTTTCAATTTATGTCTGAATTTTGCAATAAGGAGTTCATGATCTGAGCCACATTCAGCTCCTGGTCTTGTTTTTGCTGATTATATAGAGCTTCTCCATCTTCAGATGCAAAGAATATACTCAGTCTGATATCGGTAGTAGTACTGACCATCTGGTGATGTCCATGTTTAGAGTCGTCTCTTGTGTTGTCAGAGGATGTTTGCTATGATCAGTGCATTCTCTTGGCAAAACTCTTAGCCTTTGCCCTATTTCATTTTGTACTCCAAGGCTAAACTTGCCTGTTAATCCAAGTGTCTTTTGACTTCCTACTTTTGCATTCCAGTCCCCTATGATGAAAAAGACATCTTTTTTAGGTGTTAGTTCTAGAAGGTCTTGTAGGTCATCATAGAATCATTCAACTTCAGCTTCTTTGGCATTAGTGGTTGGGGCATAGACTTGGATTACGGTTTTGAATGGTTTGTCTTGGAAACGAACAAAGATCATTCTGTCATTTTTGAGATTACACCCAAGTACTGCATTTTGGACTCTTTTGTTGACTATGAGAGTTAGTCCATTTCTTCTAAGGGATTCTTGCCCACAGTGGTAGATATAACAGTCATCTGAATTAAGTTCTCCAATTCCAGTCCATTTTACTTCACTGATCCCTAAAATGTTGACATTCACTCTTGCCATCTCCTGTCTGACCACTTCCAATTTACCTTGATTCATGGACCTAACATTCCAGATTCCCATGCAATATTGTTCTTCACAGCATCAGACTTTACTTCCATCACCAGTCACATCCACAACTGGGCGTTGTTTTCTCTTTGGCTCTGTCTCTTCATTCTTTCTGGAGTTACATCCCCACTCTTCTGCAGTAGCATATTGGTCACCTACTGTAGTCCATGGAATTCTCCAGGCCAGAATACTGGAGTGGGAAGCCATTCCTTTCTCCAGGGGATCATCCCAATCCAGTGATCAAACCCAGGTCTTTTGCATTGCAGGCAGTTTCTTTACCAGCTAAGGTACCTGGTCTAGTGGTTAAGAATCGGCCTTGCAGTGCAGGGGATCCAGGTTCCATTCCTGGTTGGCGAACTAAGATCCCTCCTGCCATGGGGCAGCTAAGCCCACACATCCCACAACTAGAGAGACTGAGTATCACAACTAAGACTCCATGCAGCCAAAAATAAATAATTAAAGAGATAAATATTTTTTTAAAAAATCACCTTCCTGATTCTGTCCTTTGGTACTGTAGCCTTCCTCATAAGCTACCCAGCTACTGTTTTTTACCCTTTTATGGTAGACTGTGCGCCTTGTGAGTCATGCTCCTGGAACTTTTTGCTTGCCTTGCAATAAGAGTTACCCCATAATCTCAGAATTTAGAAACATTAGTGCTCCCGAATTCCCAGCAAATTTTTACTTTGAAAATGTCATCATTAACAAATAATACATGGATATACAATATATATGAATATATGTAAATGTTTATCATATATGTAGATGTCAAAGTATGTGTTAAAAATATAAAATCATGTGTTAGAATGGTAAACATGGAATTAATGAGATAGGTTTTTGATGTAATGATAAACACTAGTAAAGAGAAATGGTATAGAGGCCCTTAATGGGTTGGTAATGCTTTTTTTTTAAGGGGAGTAAATATGTGCAATGTTAAGATTTGATTAAGCTGAGTGGTGGATATATGTATGTGTTTCTTTATTAGTCTCTATTATTGTCTGTGTGCATGAACTATTTCACAATTTTTGTAATGTTGTTTGAACTTCTTGTTTTTTTTTTAATTCCTTTTTTTTGTTTTTTGGCTGCACAGTTTGTGGGATCTTAGTTCCCCAGCCAGGGATTAAACCCAGACCCACGGAAGTGAAAGCACTGAGTCTTAACTACTGAACCACCTCGGAATTCCCTGAACTTCTTATTTAATTATGCTAGTCCTTTGAACTTTTTCACTGAAACCTTACAGAGGACAGCAGTAAAAGAACTTTGGAAGTGGAAGGGGGGTGTTGAGAGCTATAGGTCATTGTTAATGGAACAGGAAACAAAAATACATAGAGTAAGAAAATTGCAAAGAGGAACTAAAGAGCGTTACCTAATATTACAATAGTGGAATCGACAATAGTGAGATATTCATGTTGAGTGGTGGAGAGGATGTAAGTGAACTAAGTACTCATGTGTCAAAATGTGAAGGAAGTCCATAGATAAAGTCTTGTTTGATAAAGAAAAAGTCCTGATATGACTGTATTACTGAGAGATAGGGAAGTAACCACCCAAAAGAATTAAAAACAAACTGTAGCTGTTAAAAAGTTGAACTTAGTTGATTCTCAAGTCTGAGTCTTCTAGGGTTTGGGTAGAGACGAAGGGGTGGGGTGAGGCTGGGATGTAGCAGCAGGTGTTCCTACCTTTGCAGTAGCTCCTCAGCATCACTGATACTTTGTTATAAATGTGTGCACATGCTGCTTTGATACTTGAAGAATGAACAAAGAAAAACTGTCAGACCCAAGAAAATGTCTCTTCAACAATTTGATCAAGTTACTACTCACTTCTTAAGCTGTGTTGTCTGCTTGCAGATAATTGTTTACATCTTCATTTTTCAGTTATCCTAGAATTATCCTTTATTTGTTTCTTTGTTTCTTTTCTTTCTTTTAATTTTCACCCTCTGCAAACATTTCTGTATATAAAAATTTGAAAGCTGTTTATCCATTCATGAAAAGTTGTTTCTGATGGATTATTTTTCCTATGTATATATACACCCTCGCGCTCAGGCCTTGCTCCCACCCCTACCCTCATCCCACCCCTCTGGGTCATCACAGGACCAAGCTGAGCTTCCTGTGCTTTATATTAATAGCAACTTCTCACTAGATATTTCACACATTAGTGTATATATGTCAATCCTCATCTCCCAATTTGTCCTGAACTCCCCTTCCCCCACCACGTTCATATGTCAGCTCTCTACATCTGAGTCTCTATTCCTACCCTGGAGATAGATTCATCTGTGCCTTTTTTCTAGATTCACATGTGTGCATTAATATATGATATTTGTTTTTCTCTTTCTGACTTACTTCATCCAGTGTAACAGACTCTAGTTGCATCCATATCTCTACAAATGACAAGGTCATTCCTTTTATGGCTGAATGATATTCCATTGTATGTGTGTATCACATCTTCTTTATCCATTCATCTTTTATTGGACATTCAGCTTGTTTCCATGTTCTGGCTATTGTAACTCGTGCCACAGTGAATATTGGGGTGCATGTATCATTTTATTTTATTTTTTTGATTGAATATATTTTATTAAATTTTGTGTGGTCAAATAACCTTTTATAATGTTGTTTCATGACATGTTACATATTATAACTCAGTATAGAAATAATATAAGGAAATAAAAAAAAAATAAAATTGTGCCAAATAACCAAGATTAACGTTTTCTTCTTTTTTTTTTTCCATTTATTTTTATTAGGAGGCTAATTACTTTACAGTATTGTAGTGGTTTTGGGATGTATCATTTTAAATTATGATTTTCTCAGGGTATATGACTTGAATCATTCCTCAAGTCTAATTAAAGCTGGCAGGAAATCTGGAGGAGGGGGGAAAGGAGCTCAGATAGGTTAAGCAACTCACTCTGGATCACACAGCTGGTAAATTGCAAAGGCAAGTGTCAGACTCAGTTCAGTCTAACTTCAAAACCAGTGCTGTTTCCTCTGCACCTTCATTTTTAGTTAGATCAATGCTGTTGAGACATATTGCCAAAGTGGCCTCCAAAAGGTTATATCAACTTATACCAATAATTGGTGGATTTTTATGCTTATTGGTCATTTACATACAGCACTATGCACAATAGCCAAGACATGGAAGCAAAGTAAATGTCAATTGACAGTTGAATGGATAAAGAAATACATATATAATGGAATACTACTCAGCCTTAGAAAACAATAATGACATTTGCAGCAACATGGATAGATCTAGAGATTATCATACTAAATGCAGTAAGTCAAAGAGAGAAAGATAAATATCATATGATATCATCTATATGCAGAATCTGAAAGTATGATACAAATGAGCTTGTTTACCAAACAGATTCACAGACATAGAAGCAAACTTATGGTTACCGAAGGGGACAGGAGAGGGGAGGGAGGGACAGAAAGGAATCTGAAAAAGAATACATACATATATGCTTATACATGTGTGTATATGTAGATAGATACATATATCTGAATCACTTTGCCATACACCTGAAACTCATACAACATTGTAAATCCACTATACTTCAATTTTTAAAAAATCTGTCTTCTAGTCTGCTCCGTTAATTATTTTGCCTATTCCTAAATCAGTAATGTGCTGTTAATTTTGATAGAACATATCTTCTTGCAATATGTTTTGAATAAACAAAAAAAAAATCTCATGATAAATAAATAAAATTTGTACCCAAAGTTGCTAAATGATGTGTTCAAATTCTTGTGTAATTTAGAGATAGAATCCAGAGAGTAATCTCATTATCTTCACTTTGGCCATCTTTCATTTTATTTAATATATTTTTATTGAGCACCTATTATTTTGCCAGAGACTCCAGCAGTGAAGGAAACAATATACACCTCTGCTAAATTTCTCAATTTTTGAGAAGTAAATTTTAGTTATTTCTTTAGCATAATTGAAAGAGTTGGAATCTTGCACTTTGTATTTAAAAGGCTTTTTCCCTTACATAAATATTTTAAACTCTACAGTTTCATTTCTTTTTTTTTTTTTTTATGCAAAGTAGTTTCTCTTCTATACCCAAGTTTGGTTTCTAAAAACCTCTTTGTAGAGAATTCATTGTTGAGGAGCTTAAGATTTTGTGAGGAAAATTAGTTTAGGGAAATCAAAGTGAAAGTGAAGTGGCTCAGTCGTGTCCGACTCTTTGCAACCCCATGGACAGTAGCCTATCACGCTTCTCAGTCCATGGGATTTTCCAGGCAAGAGTACTGGAGTGGGTTGCCATTAAATTAAGGTCAGAGTTAAACTAGAAAAATACATATTTTCCTTAAACAGTAATTAAAATAACAGCTAGCACATATTCTGCATCTGAAATTAGTAATTAATTTTCCTTCACTATGTTTTGCTTGGGGGAAATTTTTCATAGCTTTCCTTTTATGAAGTTTCCAAAGTTTCAGAAGATGCATAATTATATTATTTTAGAGCATGTAAAATTCATGATAAATCTTTTTTTTTTTTTTAGAACTTCCCTATAAGTTCTAATCATTACATATAAAATTTTATGATTTGGAGTAACTGAATCTCACTTTCTAGTCGCAACATGATCCCAAAGAAAGAGAATGACTTGGCTGGAGTTAGATTTAATTATATGTTTGAGTTCTGAAGTTGTACAAATCTGAAGACAGAACCAGCTTTGCCACAGAATCACTGTGTGACCTTAAGTAGGAGAGATCACTTCTCTAAACTAGGATCTCCACCTATAGATTGGTAAGAATAATAATAGTGCCTCATAGATTGCTGGAAACATTAAACAAGCAAGAACATGTAAAGTTAACCCCTTAGTGCTTGTCACATAGGTGTTAAATAAATATTAGCCAGTGTTATTATTCCCGAGATGTTGTCAATATCCTTTCATTACAAAGAACAATGGTTCATTTGAGGGCTGGAAGTGGAGGTACTGTGAGGATATCCGTGGAAGTAAAGAATCTTCTTGGAATTTGGGGAAAGTGGTGGACTCAGTCCTCCTGAGCACGGGCAGTCTTTCAGAACTGCAGGCATCCAGTGAAGAGCTGCTGCTCAGTCGTCCTGTTGTCTTGGCAAGTTCAGAGCCCATTCTGCCGTGACTCAGCATCCCTCCATCTGCCCTGCCACCGTTCCTTCTTCTGCCCACCGATTCTCCCCTGTGAATACCTTGTGAGTTTAGCTTCTCTTTTCTGATAGCTTAAGCTTCAGTTTATTCATAATTTTTCAGTTCCTTGTCAAATTTCTAAAAGATAGTGTCTGCTTAACCCAGAAAAATCCCTATTTGGACAAAGGTTCTATGTCAAAACTCCTCATAGACCATAAATCCATAAAATTGTTTTGGGGTTACATGCTCCTTTCTGGCTCCAGTCAGCTGAGGCAGGAGACCTGGGAGATAAAGGATTAGCTGACAGTCATGGTGGAACATGGCAGGTTTTCCCAAAGGGGGCCATGCGACGACTGCTTGCCCATAAGGTCTATTGTGGGTAAATTATATCTAGCAAAAAGCTAGATATAATATATAATATATATTATATAATTATAATTATATAATATATAATATAGCATAGCAAAAAAGAAATGTATCACTTTTCTTCCCTTCATTCATACCTATTTTATTATTTTGGTTGGTTTCAAACTTAACACAAAATGGGGAAATTATTGACTCAGTGGCTCCAGGAAACATGAAAAAGTAGATGACCAAACCCAGTCTTTCTTCACATATTACTTTACGTCTTGTTTTAAAATTATACCCTAATTCTTTCCTCTCTGAGACCTATAACTGTGCCTGTAACCTTGAGTGATCTACTGCTATCTCAGTGACCTGTTTCCGGTTTACATAACACTTGGCCCACATATATGGCTTATTTTTAGCTTCTCTAGGCTTCTTTTGAACTCCTTTTACTTCCTTGAATTCTTAATGTTTTACTTCCTTTAATCTCAGAACTCACATTTCTTTCTTTTCCTTTATTCTTCCATCGTGAATAGTATGCATACCTGCATGATGCTTCTCATTTCCTTTGTGCTTTACCTCCGTGTCTTCCACGAAAGCCTTTCCTCACCTCTTTGTCTTTGAGCTCAGGAAGTTTTCTCCTCCGCTGACAGAAAACACAGGCATCTCTGTTAGAGTAAGATATCTTGGTACTCTTTCCCCAACAAACGTTTGTTTTGGCAGTAGTCCAATTTTTTTCATTCATTTATTGTTATCGTCACCATTTCCTGAGATTGAATTTGATGAAAGTGAAAGTCATCCTCTTGTTTGTATTTTTACTGACCCCTTTATCTCATTCTTCTCTTACAGAATCATTAATTCTCCTGCATTCAAAGGGCAAATAACACCAGATAGTGCCTGTGTTACTTTGCTAGGGCTGCTATAACAAAGTACCATGACTGGGTGGTTTAAACGACAGAAATTAATTTTCTCACAGTTCTGGAGGTTGGAAATTCCAAATCAGGGTGTTAGCAGGACTGGTTTCTTCTGAGGCCTGTCTTTGGGTTGGTGGCAATCTTATCCCTGGTTCCTCACATGGTCTTCCCTCTCTGTAACTGTGTTCTGATTTGTTCTTATGGGAACACCAGTAGTCGTTAGGGCTCTCAATATTGGGTTAGGGACAGGGATTTGTGGTTCCCAGTCACTTTCAGGTTTTGCATTCATTAGACCTGATGACCTTGCGCAACTTGAACTTTGAGGGTGGTGGTGGTTGAGTCACTAAGTCATGTCCAACTTTTATAACCCCATGGACTGTAGCCTGCCAGGTTCCTCTGTCCATGGGATTTCCCAGGCAAGAACACTGGGGTGGATTGTCATTTCCTTCTCCAGGAGATCTTCCCAAACCAGGGATGGAACCAGTGAGTCGCCTGCATTGGCAAGCAAATCCTTTACCACTGAACCACCAAGGAAGCCCAAGACTATTGTTTTAAAATAAACAGTTTAAAAACATTTGAGCAATAGTGGAAGAA